AGAGACGAGATATTGACTAGAAAGACCTTGGCTGAAGGTAGAAACACAAAAGGGGGGCGGAGTTTTCGGGGTGAGAGGGCCGTGGCCCCCTTAAACCCCGCCCTTTCCTAGCTCCTCCTCTCAGCCAAGGTCTCCGCCCTTTCTTATGCAATAACCTCCTCCCCTCCCGCCTCGTTTACGACCCCCCGAGCCCAAACCACCATTCCCTCCCTCCAAGCTCCCGCCCTACCTGAAATTGCCCGCCCCCTTCCCCCTTCCCCTCTGCAGTTACTGTATACCGCCTCCCGACGCGGCCGAGCCGAGTTTTGCGGACTGGCGCCAGAGTTTAGGGCTACTTAAGACGGGGCTTGTCCTGACGCGTAAATCAATAATTGCTTCACGTGAGTGAGACGTGCCAAGTACACGTGGTCATTACGAGCGGAAGATCTGTTACCTTCGAGAATTAGCTGAATACCTGACAACTCAGCAGCGGCAACGACAATGTATACGCATCTGAGGTAATTTTACGGAGATTTTCGTCAAGCATTCTCATCTTTTTTGGTTTTTTCTTTTCTGATTTTTTGAGATACACAGCAGTACAAAACGCATATTGTCACGTGATTGTGTAGTGTATGTACGTGGGTGTGTATGTGTGTGTTTATTATGTGTGTGTATGTGTGTATGTGTATGTGTGTGTGTGTGTATTTCCGATGCAACTTGTTTTGGATTACCACACATACATCGAACAGGTAGTGGGTACTAACGAAGTTATGTAGCCCAGGACGAAAGGCAGGCCCGGCATAGTTAAAAACTCAACGTTTGAAAGGATACCCGCACTGATAACCCGATCGGTCTTGGTATTCTTGGTGTATTTGCACTGTCGCTATTGTTGAGGCAAATTTGAGGGATTTTTGAGGGATTTTGTTTTTTATGTTTGCCATTCACGCAGGGCTTAATGAGTTCAAATCCAGCCTCCAGTTGTGCATGGTTCTCACGTACGGACCCGTGAAAATTTTTTACGGGCGAGTTGCTAATTCGGGAAACAGAAAAGCTAGAAAGTTGAAATTTTGAGGATGATATTT